TCATTTGGCATGAAAAGGGTACAAGTGAACGTCATGTTCTATAATAAAAAGGATGTTTGAATATGTAATAAGGCCAAAAGAAACGGTGACGAAGAAAAAAAAAGGGTAGACCTTATTAGGTAAGGCAATCATCATGAATTTGTGCCTTGGCCAAATATGCAAATGGTTGAAATCCATGGCAAATTCTCTCTTCCCATTTTCATTGACTTTCGGTGGAATAGTTAACTCACGGTAAGCATGCGGAATATACTCTTGCTGATAATCCATACTAAATCGAACAACAAATTCAATTTTGAATCGAGTTACCCATTCAAAAAGTTATCTTCATTACTTACTTCACAATGTGCATCAATTGATTTCTAACGGTAGAATAAGCACCATCAGCTCCTACGATTAAATCTGCTGTATATTGAACCATTTTTCCATTCTCACTATTGATACATCGTAAATGTAAAAAAAAAAGGTCATTATTGAATGTTTTTGATTTTTCGATATAATCGGTTTTCTTTTTGAACTCCTACATGTTTTCAAATTCTAGTATTCCTGCATCAAAATTACAACGTTTCAATCGGTGTTGAAAGAAAATCTTCACATTGCTAAATGGTTCAGCGGTGTTCAGAAGCAATTCTAGAAGAAATTCTCTTTCCACGGAATAAATATTCTATCAATATGCATAAATATCAATGTACTCGGATCTGGATTTTTTATATTACCAAAAAAATTATATATTTGTGACTTACCTCATGCGAGTTGCCATAGGGCTGACTCTTGAGCTTACCTTCTCCCGCATGGATCATTCTTCCTCTCATGGGTATCACTGTTCCCAAAATACTATCGTCAAGATCTAAACCTGCCTTTGACAATGCACTTATTCCTCGAGTTGATAACGCCAAGTTGATGGATCTTTGAGGAACTGAGCCTTTGTTCTCGGGAAGTCGAAGATCTAAATGAAACATGGGTGATAAGCAAAATAAAAGAATTTGATCAAAGCTATTAAACAAATTATACCTCTGCGTTTTTCAAAAAGTTCAACATTCCAACCACGTTGTGCAAAATAGAGCGCAGCGAGGGTTCCGACAAGACCACCGCCAACAATAGCAACACGACGTTTCGGAATTGCCAATTGACTGTCGTTGCTGTGAGACATAGGATAAAAATTTTATGATAAAACCCATAACGCCTTGACCAGTGGTGTTAGAACTATGGATTAATCAATTTTAAAATTTTTAAATCATTCTGTATTTAAAAAATATTTCATAAATTTATTTAAATGTTTTATTTAATTTGTATAATATAAAATAATAATTATCTTTATTAAAAGGAAATTTGCTAATATTATTTCCGCCCTGAATACCTAAAAATATTTTAGAAAAAGTTTGTGAAAATCTACAATAAATAATTATTATATTATTTGTTCTTTGGAAGAAAGATAACAGATTTTCCAATTGAAAAATCTCATTCCATCAACGCGGTAATTTACGAGTGTAAGGGACAAGTCCAATATCGTTCATGTTCGCTCAACAAATCTGCAAAACGTTCCCTCCATTTTGCGGCGCATACTGGGTGATCTAAATGATCCTCGTTCAACATATCAGTATCTAACCACACATTAGATCCCAGAGTAATCGTGCCTTTTGCAAATGGTGCAATCTTTGAGACATCGTTCAAACCAGGTCCATTTGCCTCTGGATCTTTGACTGGATCATCATAAAGCTCAATATCAAATTTCGCTCCAGGTTTGATGATGAATTCTTCTTCTAACTTACTGTTATTCTTAAAAGGTTGCATAACGATTTCATTAATAGAAGTGATATGTGCAAGCACTCCAATTTCACTGCGAGTTTTATCCAAGGTGCCTGACTCAAGTTCGAGCTTCACTTGATCGGCGCTAATGTGAATGTTCGGCGCCTTGACTAAAAGATGATCGATGTGTAATTGCTTCTCCGTACCATAAAGGTAAAATGGCATGTGGCCTTTCGGATAGTGTGTATCAAGATAGTTTGGCCGGAGTCCACGTTTTTTGATGACCCGGACATTTTTTACCGGAACACCGGTCATCCAGTACGAGCCGCTAAAAAGTAATTATCAAAAAAAAATAATAAATGAAATGATCATTTTACTGAGAATAAACATCGTCTTACTATATATTAATGCTTTTTACCTGCCATCTGGTAGGCCTTTGTAGATCTCCGCTTTGAATTCTTTCTTGACTATTATATCGTTAAGAGTCGTCTCTTCTATGTTTCCGAGCATCATAATCAGTTTCGGATCTTGTTGCCTCACTTCAATATATTTTTCCATAACATCTGGAGGTAACTCGGCCTGAAGAATTAGTTGATGGTTGTGGTTCTCCATATAAAACATGGGTAGATGAACAAGATAAAGACTGTCTGTCCCTTGCATTATGAAGCCATGGCGATCCGGGCTCGACTTATTATGCTTGATGGAGACCTATTGAGTATTGCAAGAAAGATTACCATGCGAAAAAAAAGTCAAGATTATACGATTCGTTCTGATAAAAATTACCTTCACCTCTTCTTCCGCGACTTTTTTAAATTCGTTCGCCAACTCCCCAATGAAATTTCCTACTGTAGGAAATGGTGACATTACTACATTCACAAGTATATACAAATCTTGATCTCCTTTGAGACCGAGACGTCTCTTAAAATTAGTCAGGCATTCTCCGTAAGCTTTTTGTGACAACATCGTAGAAGTTATAACTAGTGGTTTCGTATTCATTTTGTCGGTTATTTTCCGGATTGAAAAACGTTCGTAAATGCGTCGGTTGAAAGTATTTGCTTCAATTACATCTTCGTTGACCTTGCCATCGATACGAAAATTACAAGCAAAGGTATTAATAATTAGATCGGAACCAAGCTTTTTAATCAATTCTAATGCATCTTCGTCTTTTATAAGATCTATGTTTGGCCGATTAACTATTCTCTGGCGTATAAATTCCTTTTGTGCTTCAATCTCCTCAGAAGTTTGACCTTCAAGTTCAGCCGGGAGTGGGTTAAATGGTACAACGATAAATGAGGTGTCATCGGTCGACATGGTGGCCCAGTGAGTATACATCTGAATAAAAATATGTAAATATTTTACATTCTTGAGGAGATCATTAACTTTGATAAACTATACCTTCGTGCAGGTAAATGTTGCTTCACCTAACAATGCACCATATCCATTAGAATGGAGTCCAATGATTTCATGGGAAAACCAAACACCTACGGATGATGATCCTGGCTTACTAGAAACAATGAAGTATCTTAATCATCAAATTCAATTCAGAAATAATTAATCGACTAATAATTAACCAAGATACTACCTACCTGCCCTCTATACCATATATACCAATGCATTCGTAATCAGAATCCTGAAAAACCACGGGGCTTTTCCAGGTTGTCATGTGTTTCATTCTTCCATCTCGATATAACAACGAACCAGCTGGATACGGGCAGTATCCACTCTTGTGAGGATCAACAGTGATAGAATCGCAAAATTTCAAATGTTTTAATTCATTTTCGGTATAAGGCCGTAATGCTAAGGTGGGAACATAATCCATATTGGGATCAGGAGAGTGAATGGCTCTATCTTCGGGCGTTTTACAAATCATTGACGCAAAATATCCACCCCATGCAGCATCAGCATGGATGACAAATGTGAGTCCTAACTTTTCATATTTCTCCCGCAATTTCACCACCTGAGATAATGGGTCAACAGCTCCATGCTCGGTAGATCCCATAATAGTTACAACTGCATAAACAGCTTGCTGATTTTCGAGACACTGTTGAAGAAGCTTGTCAAGGGCATCAGAATCCATACGAGCCGCGTTATTCACTGGGATGCTCCTTAGATTTTCCGACCCTATGCCAGTGACGGCTTAAATTTCCAAAAATCATATTTGTATGTATTTCATAAATTATGTGCCTAATATTAACTAATTTAACTTACCAGCTGCCTTAGGCCATGAATAATGTTTGGAGGCACCCACAAAATAGAGAGTTCGTTTGGTAACCCCAAAATGCTTTTTTAGGGCATCTTTTCCTACCGTTTGAATTATATAATTGTGCATAACGGATTCCAAGTATTGTTCAGATATGTTATATTCCTTGGATAGCCGCTCTGGGAAATCCAATATCGTTTGCGCTTTTATGTTAAGCATCTCCCAAGTGGAACAATCTTTTAACAACTTCTGCGTTCCATCGCAGAGTTCAACCTTAAAGCTATCCGCGATGAAGTTTAGGGGCTCTGTGTGATCTGAAGCTCTTCGAAGCGACAGAGGATAGAATTTGAGATTCCGAGCTAGGGATGTTTAAAATTTTAATATTTTGAAATATAATTTTTGATAATGTTTAGAGAAAAAGTGATATAATTACCCGCCCTATGATTTAAATAACATCGTAAGTATGATTGAAGTACGCAATTCTGAAAACATCCAAAAATATCAAATACATCACCACATTGATTCTAAATTAGACACCGAACCACCACTAGTTATATGACCCCATCCAACAGGTTCATTCTTATTTTCAGAATCAATGTTGTATCCTATCATTTCGCATAACTGTTTTCCAACTTCAATCTCGATTAAAGTTGTCAAAGGGCCTCCTTCCGCACTTACGTTATTTTGATTAAAAAACATTGTCGTTAGATAACCAACATTTGCAGGCAGAGATGTATCCGTGTTCATGTGCCCCATGTAACGAGGCGACCAGAAGGGGACCGAATGATCCGACAGATGTCCCATAAGACACCTGAGTGTTCCTTCAAGTTTGTTCATGCTTTCTTGGAACTCTGGGGAGGCTTGTGTTCCGGAATTAATGAAAGGCTATGATGGTATTAATGAAATAAGTTACAATGTATCTGCACTGGTCAAAAAAAAGATGTTTTTACATAGTAAATTTATCAGTGCGCGTATGTTTATAATTCTCACCAAGTCGTCTGGAAAGTATTTTTTTCTTGCTTCCATTTGGTGTTCCGCAACATTATTAAAAATTTTTTGCAAATAAACGAAATTTTCGGCTTGGGGACCAAGAAACCAAGCTCCTATGGCATTATGCTGCGAATTAAAATTATTAGTAGCGCGTTGACTATTAACGTCTGACATGGATAAATTTTTTTGTTGCTTCTTTTGTGTAAACGAACTCTTTATAACTTTCCATGATAATTGAGATTGATAAAATGGTATTACCAAGGTTATCGAAAAATTGCATATTTTATATTACGCATAGAAAAAAAATTTTTTACCAAAAATGAACAAAAACAAAGCTGATAAAGATTGACTGTCAAAAGTTTGTTTTAATTAAACTATTAAACTCATTCACTTACCATTTTTGTAGTTTGTTTATTGCCATGTGAACTAATTAATCAATAAAACTTGTTTCTATAAAATTTTATATTAATTTTTTAAAATTACCAAGTTAGGATTTTTTTGGAGGGTTTTCCTTATAGGTAGGGTAACTGGCATAATAACTATAAGCATGCCAATTAAAAATATACCATAGGCATGTCTATTATTTAAATTAATATAAGGCATGCCACTTATATTATATATATAATTATAATTTACTTATTTTAAATTATATAATAAAAACTATATACTGTATTTTCAAATATCGTATTTTTTAAAGTAATTACATATAATTAATAACAATATAATATATAATAATTAATAAATACGTATATAACTTATATATTTCTAACAAAATATTCTATATAATTATAAAATTTAAAGTTGATAAAAAATATCGTCAATCGATCAATCTTTATTAGTATCAGTAGATTGAAAATAATTAATTAAATTTTTATCGATTTTTTTTTCTTGATTTTGTTTAAAAGCTTTAACGTCAAAAAAATTTTTCTATTATTAATTCACTATTTGTATATACAGTGGTACCCAATATTATTTGGAATTTTTCTCAATATGTACAACTCAGTAAAAATTTATTCAAATCAAATACAAACTTAAATATAAATACATGAATACTATAAAATTACTTTTACTTATAACTAATTTATAGATTATATTATTATTATTATTTTAAATAATTATTTTTAATTAAAAATTTCATGTTATATATTAATTTTATG